TCGCCTTCGCTACTTACTGGCTGACGATGAGCCGCCCTCAAGCGATCCGGCCGCTACTGGCGCCACCGGGAATCAGCCTATCAATATTGAAGTTACCCTACATAGGCTTGGGGGTTTGAGGCGCCGGAGTGGACTCACACGCTGGGGGACACACTCAGAGTATTAGAGGCAGCGTCAGTGTAGGCAGTGGTCTGTATGGTTCCGTAAGTATCTCTACATAGACATATTTGCACAGAAAATAAATAATTGTGTGCACCACGATAGCCTAAAGTACTGAGCACTCAGCTTGTAAGAAGGTGCAAGGGCAACTCACGGCCTGGTTCACTCGGTGACAAGAAAAAAGAGGGATTGGAAGAATCAAGTTGGGGGGCAGCAGCGGCCTAGGATAATAATCTCTAAAGATAGGGCTGTCACGGAGGGCTACCCTATTCCCGACTCACCATCCTCTGGAAAGTGTTGGAGGCCCAGCACAAAAACATACCACAGGGGCGGGGCATGTTTCGTGGAAGATGAGAAGCACCATTGCGACCTGGTGGGGGTTCTTGATTATAATGGAAAAGGGCCGACTGTTGAAGGCGAGGGGGGCAGCATGCCGTGATCGGTTGTACTGGAAAGCCACACTGACAAGTTATCAGCTTACCGGCTAAGCACGTGTTTGCGCCGTGGAATGCGTTAAAATCGAGGCATGCGAAACCATGGATCCTTCTTTTACACCGAAAAAAGAGTGGATCCAAGCTAGTGCAGCAAACCGGGCAAATCGAAGTTATGTTGCTTGAACAGTCCAAAGACTCTAGGGAATAGCGTCCTACTCCAACTCACTATCTCCTTGCTGTATCTAGAAAAATCCTGAATAGCAGCGCAGCAGCAAGCTGCTAAAAGTAATAAGTTATCCATAAATAGTGTTTTGAAGACGGAATACGCAGTGACTAGACGACGCATGGGTTCTGCCTGCAGTACTATTCGCACTGTACGCTCCGTGAAGATGAAGAACATCCCTGGAGTTGACTCACTGCCATTCACAGAAATTTAAATTGTGCACAACATTTAGAATCAAACGAAATATACGGTTCAATTCGCGTTGCCTGTAAGAGATTTACTTCATTCGCCGCTAGGTTGCTTGCCCGCTCTGCAGGGCGGTGGACAGTTCCGGAGACGTCCTTACCGACTATACAAAAAGTGCACCAGCTCCTTATCTTCCAATTATTCATGCATATGAAGCAATGCATCTTCTGGCTAACTTCAGGAAGGTGATGCTGTTGCATCCAAAAGGCCCTGGCACTGCCCCTGATGCTTGGTTAGCACATTCCAAGCCAGCACATCAGTACAAACAAATTGCCTTCTATTTTGGCGTTTGTATGGTCTTTACAAATGGGTTTCCCAGCGGAGAAGTCTTGTGATGTCGGCTTCACTCACATGTGTCTTCGTCTATGGGAACCGTGCCTGCACAAAAACACCAGGAGACACGGTCACCTGAATCGGTTGGTGCTTGGCAGCAACAGTTCCTACAAATTTGGACACCGACCTGCTTAACGGTAATTACGCAAACGTTGTGCATCAAACAGTCCTCCAGGGCTAGAACCAACGGTGTGCACGGTGAAGCAGCAGGCCGCCAAAAAATAGCAGAGTGTAGGGCAAAGTAGTGCCTCAGTGAAGCTCAGCAGAACTTATGAGCGTCACAGAAATTACAAAACTGATGTTTTGCAGTGACAGTTTACTGATTGCGCAACCTACTAGAGGCATAGGTGAAGTGCGCCCGATGCAAGCCCAGCAGAAGCGCCATTATGGCGAAAAGCCCAACACCGTGTGTACAAACCATGATTCCTAAACCACAGAATTTGTAGATCTGCTTGATGCGATGAAGGAATGAAGGCGCCCAGGTATCAAATTACGTAGAGGGGGGCAGCTGGCCGGTCAACTAAGTCCGCTGGGCAGAAAACAGCCGCGAGTGAGACCAGTGCCACAGTAGGGTTGGAAATCCCAAGGAAACTCAAACTAAATAAAAAGACGAGATCAATCTGGACGTATGGTGACTAGAAAATCTGCACGAAATGGAATGCGCCATGTGGTAATAAGATATTGGCAGCGTGCAGCGTTGGGGCTACGATCCTGCTGAAAGGCGGTAACTTATCGTTGCCAAACGGGGCATTTAATCCTTTTAATAGTATATCAGTTTTCTTAAATAATGTTCTCTTCCACTCTTAAAGTGTTTCCAGTGGGCTTTGAGGCTCATTTAGGCTCCGCGCTTGCATCAGTCTTCTGTTTGGCCCATCACGAAAACGTGTTGCTACTAGCACCCTAAAGTTAATTCCGTATAAACGTAAATGGCTTAATTCAACACCCGCAACCACAAGTAAAGGTGAAAAAATTAAGCTGATTGACCTTCACTTCCTGGCTGGTAACGATTTCAAACGGGAGATGGGATGCCAACGGCTAATCGCTTCGCTTGTTGCGAGTGAAAACTTAACAAGGACATCCCTATGTGATTGCACTTGAAAATTTCTGGTGCAATTTAATCTAATGGTGGCTTGTTCCGACGGCAACAAGGGTTACTGGCGCACATTTCTGCTTGTTCACCGTTCCAACAACAAGATGGGTCTCACGCTGTACATCCGCTTATTCACAGTTCCGCAAATGAGCTGAGTTTCACGCTGTAATGTGTAGCATACTCTAGCGAGGTCGTAAAAGGCGTCATAATGTGCACGCAATCTGGAAACCATGGGCTTAGTGAGATGACAAAAACTGCGTACAGTGGTACCTCGTGCTCAAAAGGTAGCGTGCACAAAAATGCGGATTACGCCATAAGTATATAAACACTTTGACGGCACTTTTGATTCTGCTGGCAACCTGCAAGCACGCAAAAGTCCTCAGAAGTTTTAGTGCACTCATCCAACAAGGCTCGGTTGTGTTTGCATATGGGGCTATTTCCGATATTTTTATTCCCCCTCCTGCGGATACAAATGGACTCTAGTGTATTAGAGTCTATGTAGATTTAGAGGGCTTTAAAGTTATTTATCAATGAGCCGTCTGAATAGGGGCACATCCGCCCATACTTGTGGCATCTAAGTGTCGTCTGCGCTTTGCATGATGCCTCATCTCCAGCGTTAGCCGCACCGTCAGTCCCCAAAAGTACTCGGGTGCACAGCGGTCTTAGCCTGATGGCCCTATTTCCTGTCTAAACTGGCTTGATATATTTTTCATAATATTAGTTGTACTAGAATAGATTGCCCTCTGGATGCATTTAGTGGCCCCAGCTGCGTTCCCCTAGCTGCCCACAAACGGCAAACAGAAAACCATTCATCGCGCCTTTCTTCCGGCCCATTAAGTGTAATATTCCCGCTTTCTTTGACATCTGTGAATTGTTTAATGGTTGTTTAAGACCTCAGCCACCTCCCGTTATGACTGACCAGCACAGCGTTGCAGGTTGCCTGCATGTAAAATTCGGGGGTAGTTCGGCGTTTTCCCTAGACCCTCTAGAATGCCAGCATTGATCGTATGGTGGAATCACCATGTTGAGGGTAAGTCGTCGATGTAAACCAGCAAGGGCATAAATCATACGAGAAAGGGCAGAACTACCGCAGGCTATAGGGGAAGTACAAGTTAACTGCAGGCAAAAGGACCAAATAGGGGCGGTGGCTCAGATGAGGGAGATATATTCCAGCAATGGTGGCGCGAGTTAGATGCTGGTGATAATGAATACAAGAGTGCTGTATTGTGTAGTGTGGGGGTACTGCTGCACTGCGTATTGCCAGGCAGCCCGTGATTGGCCCTCTTAGTTACTGGGGCTTCTCGGGTTTTCATCAATCCTAAGACTGTTGAAGGCTTGCAACTTAAGGGTCCGCAGGGCCGTACGTTCACCATAGCTAATGGTGAACGGTTGCGTTTTGATCGTGTAGTGAGAGGGTCAACCCAGTGATATGGAAGCGAGAGATTTTCTGGCAGTTTCCTATAAGGCCCTGTTCCGTAAGATATACTATTGGCTCTTGACTGGCTGACACATCATAAGGTTACTTGGTATTTTCAGTCTGACAGGATGCGAACCTATCTGGATGCCAAGTGGCGTGAGAGTGTGTACGTACACACAAAGGGATAGCATCCCCCTAAAGGCGGCTCAAAGGACACCCGCAGGGCTGGCATACAACCTACTGGCGAAGCGCGTAGTAGGCAGAGGTGGTAGTGCGTATATGTAGGCCACCGGTAGAGGCCCAATAATTTGTGGGCCACCGGTAGAGGCCCAATAACCTATGCGAAGGGGGCAGTAGTTATGCCCCGTGCAGCGACCAGGTGGGCGACGTGGAGCCCACCCCACTAACCCGGAACTGTGGAACTCCCCACACAGACGAGAAAGAGGCATATAGAAGAGTGGTAGAGACCCAGGGAGATGGGAACTCCTCTATCTACGGTAGCGAGCCACGGCCGGAATGGGGGGAGGTTGTAGTGCAAAGGCATTATAGTCGTTCACCCTGTGATGAATCTAGAGGCTGTATCCGCGCAAATAAACCGTATAAAATACCACTTCAGACATATCAGAGCATCTATGCATGAAATACGGACACGTGGCTACGACCTCTGACTGCTCATCGCGGGGCTGGCTGGGACACCGAGGCACTGACACATCGTCAGCGGGTCGGGGAGAGACATATCTATTTTGGTTCTCCTTTTCGCATAGTAAAAATTAAGCGAGTTGTGATTTGGTATATTAAGCTCAATTAGGGTTGTTTTAAGGGTAGAATAGGGATCTGTGCTTAACAGCTTAAGTGCACCATATAGTTAGGCCAGTTGACTCCCGTAGTCACTGCCGAGTGCGAGCTGTGTACTTCAAAGCCCACCGTCTGCATTAGACATCATCTCCATACACTGTGAGCGTCGTGCCATTACTGTTGCAATTTGGCACAGTGAGAAACTGAACAAAGTCACTGAAGGAGCTTTTCTCCCATTCGTGTAACCTGTTGTGTGTCTGAAACCCATCTTGCTGCTCAACCGCGGGGGGCCGAGCGTAGAAAATGCCTCTGAACTTAGGAGACACTTTCCCTAACTTTGACGCTGATGCGTTGGGGATTGAAAAGTTCAATCTCTACGACTATTTGGGCGACAGCTGGGGCATTATGTTCAGGTAAACCTCCCGAAGGCGTACCAACTCCCAGCGGGAGCAGGTGGTGTGTGTGGGACGATTACAAATTACCTCGTATCCTAGCTGAAGGGGCACTTAGAGTTGTAGAATCTATTACTAATCACATTAAAACGTTGGTTGAGATGCAAGTGTGGGGAGAACGTGCGTGTCTGCAGCCACCCCAATGACTTCACCCCCGTCTGCACGACGGAGCTCGCAGAGGCCGCCAGGCTTTACAAAAACTTCAGGGACAAAAACTGCAAACTTGTCGGCTTCTCGTGTAATGATATGAACAGCCATAAGGTGAGTATGATGGGGCATCTAGAATGAGAAACTACAGATAGGGTACACACCGGTCTGGGTCAATTCTTGGGAGCACTTCCCGTTTGTTTCCCTCGTCTAGGCAGTGGACTCTAACGCAGTTTGCCCTATTGTGGATCTTTAGTAATGTATTTGGATGCCACAGTACCCTTTTGGCTGTCCTTATCAAATGCGAAGGACGCATGAGTGCTCACATTGCGTCTGTACTGCATATTGCTGCTCAGGAGTGGGCTAAGGACATCATGTCGTATGGGGGATCCTGTGGGGATTTGCCATACCCATTAGTTTGTGATCCAGATCGCAAGCTGGCATCCTCCTTGGGTATCATGGATCCAGCAGAAAAGGATAAGGCAGGGTTGCCACTGACTTGCCGCTCCGTGTTTTTTATCAACCCGCAAAAGAAGCTGGCAGCCTCTATCCTCTACCCGGCAACTACAGGCAGGAGCTTCAAGGAGATCCTCAGAGTCCTGGATTCCCTGCAGGTAAACTGGACGACTAAGTGCAACTTTTCACTCCATCAGTTATTACTGGTACTGGTGGCATCAGGCCTGTACGTGCAGTGTCTTGCGATGCATATGCAGCTGACTGAGAAGTATCCCGTCGCAACCCCTGTCGAGTGGATCCCGGGAGGCACTTGCTGCGTTGTGCCAACCCTGTCGGAGGAGGAGGCGAAGACTAAGCTCCCGAAGGGCCACCAGGTGCAAAATTTGCCGTCAGGCAAGGCATACCTGAGGCTCACCCCAGACCCGTCGAGCTAGGCTGTCAGGACCAGCGCATTCTGTCTTTCCTCACGGAAGTATCTGTGTTGACAGACGGAATTTGGCTCTGTCGCTTCCCTGTTAACGCGGTCGATAAACTGCCAGCGTGCATCAGCTGACCCATGTTTCGTACCACAGGGACCTGTAATATATAGGAAAACATCGGAGCTTGCGGAGTAAGTGTAGACAGCGACAGCTATGATTCTAGGGTGACAGACTTTAGCATATCATTTCAGTGGCCATGAACCCAGATACTAGAGGTAGCTCTCCGCAGAAAGCGATGATTGTATTCCATCGTTGCCTCCCACCCCATTGATGGGGATTCGATGATGCCCTCCTCAAACGTAACCGGTGTAAGTTTTCTGCACTGAACTCGGGGACCCGTTGCATTGCAGAATTGAACTTCGAAACCACTACTCAACGACGAGGTTTTACGCCAACAAACTGTGCCCATCATCGTTCCAAGGGGAAGCTGGGAGGATGGTTGTATTTGCTACATACCCAGCGCTACCGTGTTCTTTGGCGCCTTCCCGTGCCTTGCTCTCTCCATTGGAACCCTACCAACTAGTGATCCAACCCGACGAGGGGCGCAACAGCCCGGTGGACAGCCTATCTTGGTGTGTGATTTGCCCTATGTCGTGCAGATGCACTTTGGCTTGCGTGCATACTGCCAACTAAGTGGCAAACAAGGGTTCATTGACTGTTAGCAGTATTCGTGCTTGCATGAGAGGGGGTTGGCTGTGTCTGCATAAAGGGTTGTCTTAAAGCGCCATTTGTAGCAGGCTGCGTTGCGGCTCATTTCTGGAGGCCTTCTCTTGCTGTGCCCCAACCCTTTGAGGCGCTGCCTTTTAGACATCTGGTAACTGGAGAAAAGGCTAGCTGCTTTGGGGGAAATCTGGTAGTAATACATTGGGCTTTGTTCCAGCTCGCGGTGGCCACGTTCAAAGATCTAGGGCCCTTGCTGCAAATAGGTTGCCAGATGGAAGCTGAGTTATATTTGACGGAGGATAAATGCCTTTCTTCAATTGCTCCTAGCTATGTTCTTAGGATTTTAAATGGACCCAACTGTTCAGGAATTCGGTGGTTACAAGGGTGACACGACCGAGTGCACCTGCTGTCCGTCGTGTCCAGCGTCACGCTTTCGTTGTTTTGGCGTCTAAAATACTACTTCCATATCCGTAGAGTAATATCAAATGAATGCAAAACCCTCTGGTGGGGCTGGAAAAGGCGGTGCATTCTTGAGTCCCAGCAAATACCTTCTTTTGTCGGCGGGCAGAGGGCCTTTTTCTGGGCCCATTGCATACAGAGCATTGCGCAACAGCTAGATAATCAAATGGCCGCTCCGCATGCATTAAAACATGTTCTGTAAATATATAACCATGCCAAAAGGTGTGAGAAAAGGTCAAAGACACGGGAGGAGACTGGTGAAATAGCTTGCTGGTGGCAAAATAACAATATTGCGACATCGCTTGCAGAGGCAAGTTGAAACCAAAGCTTCTAATGCGCATTAACGCCCTAGAAGTATACATTAAATTTCACGCGTTTCCAGCTCTGCACATACCAACAAATGTGTCTGAGATCCATGCGATAAATGCAGAGATATAGAGACCTCGTCGAAAACGAACCAGCTAGCAGTAAACGGAATGAACAATATTCAAAATCAATCCAAACAGGAATGGTCCCACTAGTCGAAGTGCATGGGAATTGTACGCTCATAATCCCTGCAGCTGAGGCACAAACAGCAGTCGGATTAGGTTAGTGTAATTGAGCACGGGCAACTTCCATTATGGATAGTTTTCCAGTCGAAGCTGAGATATTTGCACATATCCAACATACAGAGATCACAAACGGTAGTAAAACGGGCCGATATATTATGTTGTCGGAAAAGCCGTCTTCTCATTTGAGGAAATCTGTGTGCTAGGGAAAAGCAAATTGGTTAGGTGCTAGTGCGTTTAGGTGGTCGGCACTAAACTGCGAACAGCATTGCGCTATACTTGCTCTTCAGATATAAAAGATGATTCACAACCAGACCCTTTAACTTAACTCCAGCGGTCATCATCGTAAGTAGCCCACGAGGAGACGACAGACCGCCTGTGGCCACCGGTTGACCGAGCCCACCACGTTAGCAGCAACATACGTATAGTGGCCCCAAACGGGATGTTGGCGCTTTTAGGTCTAATAAAGGTAGTTTTAGGAACACGTCTTATTGCAAACTCCCCAAGGGCTTCTCAACGGGACGCCCGTGCGTCGAATGCAACCTATTCAAGATCGAGACTTGGGACAGGCGCCGTGCGCACATCATTGTTTTCTCCCATTCCTGGTGGTTTTGTGGCGCCTCAAGTACAAATTAGCCAATCATCAGTAAAATGTGCTGTAAATGTACCATATGAATGGGGTATGGATGCGCGAATGGGAAGCACCAAGGTCGGGGAACATCGAGCCCAGATGAACTAGGCATGAACCACTGTCCAATTATCTGCTTCTGCAGCGGACCTTCAACTTTTCGTCATCTTGTTTGTTTCAATTCTTTCTGGGGGCTTCGGCGGTGCACTGCTGTGCGTTGATTTTGTGCTTTGCTCTGTGCGGTCATCCTCAATTCCTGCTGATTATAGTTCCAGCACACTTTTACATAGTTGGGCCTCCACTGTCGTCAAGTTGTCTTATGTGTATGACTGTAGTTGAGTAGAGATGATCTCCGTAGGTGCTGTGTCTTACGGACTTCTTCTGCTGAGCGTTAGCGGCCTAACAGATGCATTTTTTGCTGCTGCGCAACAGCTCCAGCGGCAGCATCCGCAATTCGGTAAGCTTAGCAAACTACTGCACTTGCTGTATACCTGACAGATGCATAAATAGGGCAATACCAATTAGGTAAGAACTGGCATTACTAAGCATTCCAATAGCCAACTGGCCGCGGAAGGTAGGTCTGCAGGGCCCAAACCTGCGTGCTTCTCCGTGGATGTGGCTGTTTTATCCTTTGGGCTGCATTGCGGGTGTGTGTGAGCCGTTGCCTGGAATACAGGTAAGTGCACAGCAGAGGACTTCATCAGAGGTGCGGACTCGAGTTCTCCCAGTTTCCTTCAAGAGGAAACACCTTCGTCCTCTTCGGATGAGGAGTGCATGCAGTTACTGTCGGAGCAAGACAGCATCTTTGCTTCTGGGCTAGCCGATGCGGCGGCTGAAGACGAGTATGATAGTAGGCCAAATGTGAGGGGCAAGTGTGGTCATCTTCTGGTTGCGGGTGATAACGTTTGCCGACCGTACTAGGTGCAGGTGCCTGGGTTTGTCATGCAGGTGAGCATACCACGGATTCCTTAACAGCAGAGGAGGCCGTTGCTTTAGCGACACAATTTCTTCAACGAAGACGTGCAGCTGGTGCTGCTGTTGAACTGAAAGCCATGAAGAAGAGCATGGCGCTGTTAAGCAATGCAGCAAAAGACTCGACTGTCTTCGTTTTGGGGTTGGGAATTCATTTGCATTCTATTGCGAAGGTCAGGGCCTAGAGGAAAGTATGCTGCAGACCAGGCTGCAACTGCCCTTTAATTCCGTACCACTCTGTTTCTGCGCCACCACCTATGATTGTTGTTGCGCTGCCACCATTCATTGGAGCCACCCGTGGGGACGCTGACTTTTGCGGATCGTTTTGCGTTGCAGATGGCTAAGAATGTTATTGTTGTGGAAACTGACTACAGCTTTTGCAGGGAGTTTCTTGGTTCGAAGTCAGGAGAGTGCGTCATGCAGCAAAATGTGCACATATACTGTCCGCAGCCTGCCTCCTCTAGGCCGAAGAATGGAGCGGAGGCAAATGAGGCGAAAGAATCATTTGATGCCGCTGAGGATCTTACTGACGATGTGAGAAGGGGCGAAAGCCATATGCTCTAAACCTAACATAGCTGGGTTAGCTGCTCGCTTGGGTCTGCTGTAGTTGCTTCTCCGCACCCAGAGCTGTTGTTGTGCAAACTGCATGCAGGGCTCTAATATGTTGCAGCATGTTGTTCACAGCTCATGAAACAACAGTTTGGGGATGTGCCAGCCAGCACTTTGGTCGTACTGGGAAGTTTTGCTGTGACGAAGCTGCTGCTGATGGAAAGGTTTCTGGACCAGTCTAGTGTTATCTTGGCGCGCAGCCGCATTTCTGCTGAAGGCCTAAAAGCCATTTCGAGCTCGTTCAGGGTGCTTGCATCCTTTGAACCAGACCACCGCTCCTCATCGCATTCTGTTAGTTAGAAGACACAGTAGTCCACGTTGCCTATTGCGGTGGATTCTGCATGCTTGACTGGCTATGTAAAGAGTAAACGGAAGGAGCAAGCTGCGTGATACGACGTGCTTCTAATGGGTGTGCGTTTTAGGTTGAGTCCTTTGTGCTCCTACAACGGCTGTTTACTCCACCTGTGCACAGATATAAATGGATGAATTATGCAACAGAAAAGTGGGAGCTGCGGGACAACACGGCGCCGCTAACGCTTTGGAGTACAGTCTACGAGGCAGTGCAGCCGATCGCCACCGATGAAAGTGTCAATCCGTGGAAACGCAAAGCCTTACTGACATACTTGGATGTGCATGCGGATGCAGCAGCGACAGGTTCTGATGAGGAGTGGAAGAATATTACATCCGCTTTAGAGTCTATTCTGAATATTGCTGGCAAGGGAGAGAGAGCTGACAGTGTGCTTGTGAGTCACGCATCATCACGCATTCGCATCCATGTGGGCTGACTTAGGGATCAGCAAGATGCATGAAACCAGCTGTGTTGGAGGTATAAAATAAGCCGCCTTTGTGCGTATACTGTACGCTTTACCACGTCGCTTTTCAGGAGCAGGCGAGGGAATCTGCCCTCCGTTTGGCTTGGAATGTTGCGAGCATCTCTGGACTAGAAGCGTACTTTCAACTTATGCTGGATACCCTCTCAACCATTCAAAGCGAAGGCAGAATTTTAATTCACGCGGTAATTTGTCACTTAGTTGCCGAGACAGGACGTCTTACCGCATCCTGTAAGTTCCTCGTAAAATTCGAATGAGACAGCCGAGTAGAGCCAAACTTTCCCGTCGTCTAGCCGTTCCCTGCGGAAGGAAAAAATTGCAATGACATTTGCTTTTGCTCGCTTATGCCTCAGCGAACATTTTGGACAAAGTGAAGGACGCAGTCGAAGAGGCCTGCGAGTTGGCTGAGGAGAACCCACAACTTCTCCTACCGGCCCTGCGTCTCATCCTTGGAGGAATGTACCGTGAAGAGAGCATGGTTGACTGCTTGCGAATTCTCGTGAATTTGAAGCAGGGCATTTCCGATACTGACGTCTCCGCACTTGTGGAAGAAGCGGGAAAATAAATAAGAGACCGGCTTGGAAGGCTTCCGGCCCCGTCCATCCCGAAAGAATTCGGGCAAATTAGTGGGACATTGAACTCGCTTTTGAAGCAGCACTTACGAAGCTGTCCATTGTAGGTAGTTTGTGGGTGTGAACCACACGGCATGATTCCGCTAGCATAAAGCCATGCTTTCACTAAAGGCCCTAGTTGATCATTGCTTCCAGAAGAGACATGAGTGGGAAAGATATGCAGGTGTTTATACTGCCCGAAATGCACCGCGCGTCCAGCCAATGGCGGTTGTGCCATGTAGCAGCGCATTGTATTCAGCTTTTAACTCCTGCTGCAGCAGCATCGTTTGACATTCATTCCCGTACGGGCATCGTCGGCCGGACGTGCTTACCGCCAATGGGCTGTTGAATACTGCCCTAACGCATTTGTTTTCGAGACCGTGGACTGCTACAGTGGTCTCCTCGAAGGAAGGAGGGTCATGTGAGGAGGGGCTTCACTGAATCATTCAAAAAATGAAGGATACCTTTTGTTTTCTATGCATCTCTGTTATGACGCGCCCCATCCACATATTATATAAACCCAGGAATTTATTATTAGTTTGAGTGGGTACACTCACAACAGACTCCGCTCTTGCAAAGACCTGTGCCCTCTCGTCGGCGGTAGAGAGCATGGATTTCCTTGTAGGGATACAGCACTCTGTTCGGGCGGTTGGAAGAGTCCAGTTGACCAAAAGCTAAGTAACGCTATCAGCTGTGAGTAGCCATGATATAATCAGGCAGAATGATAAAGCACTGGGGAGTGATTGTTCGAACTTTCTTTATGAAAAGCAGTAAATGCTGGCCTCACAGATGCACACGCCTCCGATCACTCCGTCACAGTTATGGAGAAAAGCTCGAAGGACCTTAATCGGTAGGCGTGCCAACCACTTGCAACATCGGCCCCAAAAGTCCAAGGCAAAATGCTAGAGTGTACCATATTTACACGGCCAATATACCTACGTACTGTCCGCAGTGCAGCTAAGACACACAGCTACGGTCAGTTGGACAAACATAACACTGTGTGGGGTAAACAAACAGAGCAGCAAAATCCACCCCCAGACATGGTGTATGAAGGGAGACGCCGCACTCAACCGTCGCCTGTTTCAGCAGGTACTCAACTGAACTTCCTGTAAGCCTCTAGAACGGCTCTGCAGCAGCTCGCAATGCGCACACACCGAGATGCGTCTGATTTGTGCTAAGCCAAGGAATCTGCTCTGGGGAGTACACAGCAAAAAAACACGAAATGACAAGAACAACGGCCAACCTAATAGAAATCAATGAGATGATAAACATGATTTGCGTGATTTGTGTGCAGCGAATTCACCTGCCAGGAATCAGGTATGTTCCTGAAGAGGTGGCGATAGCAATCTCTGCACATGAACTGATATACCACGGCCAGACTTGCGGAAGTTCAATGGGCTGCCCTAGCTGCATTCCCAAAGAATGAGGGCCGTGGCAGCCTCCAGAATATTCCGTTATTGTGGGCATTATGGGGGCGGGTTGCCCTACAACCCTTTCCAAGCACTCATTAACGGATTCGGAGTAGTTGTTGACAATAGAGAGTGCGAACGATCCGTCAGATCCAAAAAGCTTGGTCAAAATGAACACAGACTCGTTGTAAGAGCTGACGATGCACTGGTCGGCAAAGCGTCTGAACCCGACAGATTTCCTGAGCTTAGAGTTATCCTGCAACAATAACAGAGACGGAGGTGGACAAATCGCGTCCCTGCAGGCATTATGCCAATGACTAAGGCTTTCCACTTGATAAACAAGCAGGCATACAACCCCAGTGCCAACAAATGATGAAGATAATCCCACCTTTAGAGAAAAGAACGCTTGCGCTACGTCCCATATTGCCCACGCAAGCGCCGGTGTCAGTCCAGGATAGAGGTTACGGTACTGCCATATTAGGCGGTCAAGGTGCAACAGCTTTCGGCGGGCCGTCGATATTGATTCCAAAAATCGACACCAGTGGGCGACGAGCCTGAGAAAAAGAAAACTGAGTTGTTGATGCTACACCTCTCGAATGGTCGAACGCTCCCATGGGTGATGAAGAATAAGTGCAAAAAATGGCAACCAAATAAACTATTCTACTTGAAACAAAAGGGTAAATACAATATTTGTACCCACATGACCATCCATCCCTAACCCTAAATTCAAACCCTAGCACCTAAACCTGTGTATGCAAAGACAACACGTGACGCGGCGCCTTCATAAAGCAGAGTCTCTCACCAGTGCGTGTGGAATGTCAGTTTGATAATGGAGTCGACTACGCGTCTTTCCCTCTTGTCCAACAGATGCCACTTTTTCTTCATAATATGCATCAGTTCGTGCACTTCGAGCTGCTGCAGCAACTGCTGAGCTCCTGCATCTGCGTAAACCGTGCAGTTGAACACCGTCAGACCCGGCAGCCAGATGATCCGCACACACAACGCACACATCCAGCCCGTTACGTTCTCCAGCAGATGGAAGCGCGTATGCCGCTGTATTTTCGTCAAGCATCGTCAAAACATAGTCTCACCTGTGTCGTAATTGTTATTACTCGTATCATGGCTGGCTCCATCTGAGCCTTCGACGGTACTCGACAAGCTGTTTGCCGGGGAATGCAAGTCGTCACGGAGGTTAGATTCGGGATTGTCTAAACTGTTGGCAACGCCTTCAAGTAAACTTTCCACAGCAAGGGCCCGCTGCCGCTGGCTGTTTGTCCACAGCGTCCGGCAAAAGCAGCAGCAGCCACTCTGAGGGGCCTGCAGCAACTGCGATGCAATTTCAGCCGATGTCAAGCCGCTTGTTTTGCTGAAAAAAGGCGACGTCAAGCAGGCACCAGCTGCCCCAGAAGCACCGACTGAAGCAGCGCTTGGCCCTTCTCCCAGCGGGGTGCCTTCCCGCAACTCAGCCAACAACAGCCGCGCCCAAATTGTCTGAAGGCTCATGCTTGTTGGGGCCTCTACTGGAATCTGCCTGTCTCCATCTTGTCCGGCTGGACCCCGTGCAGTTTCAGGGTACATCCTCTGCTGCGCCAACGGCTGTATCCAGGTGTCAGGCGCTCTTTCGTCTGGAATGGGGGACTCGGAGGTGCTCCTGCTGCACTGCATGAACCCCTGCACCTCAGGCACAGCCGCTTCCTGCGCAGTTTTCAGAAGCGCCCCGTCAAACAATTCCTCCGTTCCTGTCTCATTCACGCTGTTCACAATTACGGCAACGAGCAGAAGGAGGCCAAAAAGAGACCATGCAGGAGATCACGATCGCCCTACCGGGCAACCGGCTAGACTCCCAAAGCCTGTTCAGCTTCTGTGGCTGCGCTGGAGCAGCAGCGTGTGTAATAGGCTGCTGCTTCTAAGGGATACTGCTGATGCTGCAGGTTCTGTCGTGGGCGACGAGAGATAGCACTCACTGTACATAAACAACGCCGAAGCGGCACCGGGGGCAGCGGAAGCCTCGCGAGAAATCAACTGGAGAAGTACACCTGAGAACCCTCAGCCCACAGATGCTTCTACACTCGCACACCGAGCTACCATGCACACAGAACTTCCGCTGTAACCTCACCGTTCGCACATACACTTGAAGTCCTTTGCGCCTTCAAGCAGTTGTCGCCGGTGTGCGGTGCTGCGAAGCATGTCATCTTCTGACAAGTATGTCAGCGTCACTTCATCTCCCGCTCTGCATGCAGGTCCAGACAGCCTCCAAAACATATCTATATATTCATGCATACAAAACCACGGCAGCTGAAGCATAAACCCTAAACCCTGTGCCCGTAATCCCAGAATGCGCAATTCACCCGCACGCCGTGTTCCTGAGCCTCACTGGCCCGTACCCGAAAGCTAGCCCTATCTGAGAAAGGCCTGCTGCTTGAATGCGTGGTAAATTACACAAGAGCATATCGAACAAGTTGCTTGCATTGGTATGTGCTGCTATAATTCCCGCCCCCCCTCCCGGTACCGCACCGAATAGTTGTTCGCGGGAAGAAGCGGAAGTTGGAGTCATTGTCTGTGCACCAGAGGGCGTTGGGAAGACATGAGTGAGAACAGAAAGAGGGCATAAAATAAATCGCGTAGCCTTCAGGCGACTGGTGGTGCTCAAAACAGTTGTGCAGCCACACCTGCGCAGCACAAGCACGACGCGTGTCAGTGTATGCCTTTGTTCGTACGTAGATACGATTTGCATCGTGCGCTCCATGCGTGGCTCTATGGAGACTCACTTGAATCATTATTTCCATGTCAATGTCCTCAACTATTCCACGGAGGCCCATAAAATCCACAAGAGTAACCGCTGCAAGTTGCAACATCACCCAGCGGAACGGGAGAAACAGCAATACTAGCACCAAGAAGAAGCATCAAGCGTAAAGCTAATATACCCTGGCCTCTAAGCTAATTTACCTTCAGTGCTAGGTTTCACCGCCTCAGGTATAAAGAGAATTCGGAGAAGGTCATACTGGCGGCTACTAATTGCCTGAAGGCCGTCAACTGGCTTATCTCTCCCCTCCACCAAAACTGAATTCACGGCGCACCAGTACCTGTACAAGTATAGGACAGACCTATGCAATTTGTTATTTGTGCCTCAAGCTGCAGAACCAATGAGAGGCATTCACATAGGGCGGCGTAGCAGCAGATGCTGCAGCAGCAAACAAGTGGCTTTCACATATCGCAGCTCCAGCCCAGTGTGGTTGCAAAAGCAATAACGGCAGCACGTGAAGCGGATGCGAGAAAACTCCTTCGGCCGCTTTGGAGCTTACCAAATTGCCGGATGTGTGAAGCCTTGCCGCTCGCATAGTTGCATCAACTTGGTGCATGCATGGTTTTCGGGGTCAAGGCGGACTGCATGCAGTGGAGGCTCTTGAAGAATGAGTTCGCCAACTTCAAAGCCCCGAGTGGCACGCAGCGTACGGCCCTTAACTGGGTCAAGCGTACATAGAAGCTTGCCTTGGTGATGTTCACTGCAATAGTTGTTTATGAGGACTGTTGACTCCTCTGCAGACGGCAGCGAATGCCGGACCATCGTCTTCTTTCCGCCTGCTCCTCTTTACATACACTTCATGACAGTCGAAAAGCAAAGTCTATCAGTCGCAGATGTACCCAAGGCTTCAATTTCTACACACTATGCCTCAACACCCAGTGCAGCGAGCAAGTAACGACTAGCCATGGGAGGCAGCGGGCAGGGAGGAGGGTCTTCTCGGAGCCGTTACATGGGGCTACGAATACTTCAATACTTCTCAGATAATTGATGCTGAAGCAGCCAACGACAATTTCGACACCACCACAGCGCCTAGCAGTATGTGGGGCTGGCTGACTGCCATCGGCAGGCCATCTCAGGAAGATGGGTCCCTGGCAACTGCCCCAGATGCGTGTCTGTTGTTCGTAGTATTATTTTTCATGGCATTTACGCCGAGTGGTAGTTTAAGACACTGCTTAGTGAGCAGAATCCGTTCAGAGGGAGGTGTGGGCGCCCCCCTGGGTGACTAGCGTCGCTACCGCCTACCCGCGCTAATGAACTGCCCGTCATTATTTTCCAAATTATGCATTGGCACCTGCCGGTGTGAACGCGCTGGGTTACTATATACCACTGAAGCGGGGTCCCGTCGCAAGAGCACGCAGACTGTTGCAGTCTCCTCGTTGAAATGGCGACGCCACATGCATGGATGCGAAGAGGTTTGGTGCTGATTTTCTCGGGGCCTCCAGGGTCTGGAAAAGGGACTTACGGGAAGATCCTAGCGAGACGGTGGGGAGCACGTCACATGTCTATGGGCGATGTGATCCGGGCAAAACTCGCTGCCTTCTCGTGTGCTGCATCGGAGGATGATTTACGAGACGTTGACTATCTCGGTCAGAGCGAAGGCACCTTCCAAGTTAATAGATGCCACGTAGAAAAGGGGATTTTAATTCAAGATTCCGTAGCCTCTGAGATGTGCAGACAGCATATAATCAATTCTGCACGGCAGACGTCGTGGATCCTCGACGGGTTCCCCCGAACTATACAACAGGCGGAAGCTCTTCGCAGCTTTGCGCCTCCCCATGCATGCATTAATTTTCATCTTCCAGCAAATATCCTTCTAAGCAAGCTCTTGGGAAGGAGAATATGCACAACTTGCGGGGGAAATTTCAACGTCGCTGACATTTACCACCCACCTTTCCAGCTGCCTGCCATTTTGCCAAAAACAGAATGCGTGCATTGCGGGGGAAAGCCACCGCTAACTAAACGCAGTGATGACACAAAGGAAAGCATCCAGCGGAGGCTTGATTTGCATGAGCAACTCACCACACCCATGCTAAAAAAATACGACGCCGAAGGCTTGCTGTTGAATTTTGAAGTTGTAAAGGGCATTGATGACATTCCGCGACTTGAAGAGACAATTATCTCATTTCTGCGCAGGAAATATAAATTGCAATGGCCTGGGGTTCATTAGCGATGACGTGGATCTGTGGTGACGATTTCCGAAATTTGCCGTTGCACATTCGTTCTTTTGTTTTTTACCTCATTGTTTCTAGAAACCCATACGACTTTCGCAAAATCTTCCCAGGAATGCCGGCTTGTCTTTTTTTTTGTAACTCGCTGTTTCAAGGCGGTTGAAAACGTCTTCTGACTCTTAGCGGGCTGTACGTGCAGATCGTGTTCCCGGACCGTTGGCGATCTGCCGTACAGCCCGCTGAGCGTCAGAAGACGTTTTCAACCGCAATATCCACCGGGAAGCATGCTCCGTGGGATATCGTTTTGTGAATTGACGTGTTATTGTTCGAAAATGCATATTTTGTCGCTGGTGCTCGCTGGCCTTCCCCTTGCTGTTGCAAGTGCTTTTGAAATTCCTCAGCGACCCGGCAAAATCCGTTCGGCTTACGAGGAGAGCATTCACCACTTGATGGAGAATGAAGGGGTGCATAGCAGATTTGCGTTACCGGACTTGACCGGACGCAACGGAAGAGAAGAGCCGAAGCGTACGCAACCTGAGCCCTTCACGACCAGTACTTACGCTGCCAATGCTCACTATTATTGAAGCTTCAGGGCCGACCATGCCGAAATTTGTAGAAAGTAAACGCCAGCCTAGCTTTGTTGCCTTCGTCATGCGTTGTTTAAGATTTCATCAGTTCCCAGGGAAGAGTACGACGACTTCAAAAGTTCTGTAAGGGCTGCACGGGAAGCTCTGAGCGTCTGTCCTGTTACGACATATCCGCAGGTCCAAGCCGTCAAAAAATTGCTGAAACCCGAGAGCGTGAATATGCTGAAACGGCTTTCATCTGCAATTGTAAACGAAACAGGGGGAGAAGCGGACATGCGCGGCTATGGTCTTTCTCCCAAATCGTCCAAGGTCAGTACATATTGTAAAGAAGTATGAGCACATCACACACCGTGTGCGCGAGCTTGTATGCGCGCGACTAAATAAACGCGCGAGAACTCCTTGATTTTAGACCATTGTGGACTCTGGCTCTCCAGTTCGCCAACTGTTGCCAGTTAGTCGAGAGCCCAGCACCACCAACCCCTCGTGGGTGGAGCAGTTCCCGTTAGTTTTCGCAACGACGCCTGTGCAAGAGCAGCAGCAGCTAGTGCAGCAGCAGCTACTACAGCAGAGACTCCAGCTGCAGCAGCCACAGCTCGCAGGCATTCCCCCCGTTTCCCGTGCGGGCTTCGACTACTTGCAGAGGATTCCCGTATCTCAGGTACTGTTCGTTTGATGAAGGGAACCTCTTCTCACTAACCTTTTACACGTAACTTGTGAGTATCATGTTCCGGTGAGGAACTCAACCTCAAGCAGATCGCCGCAGCTGCAAGTCAGCAGATGTCCCCTATGCAGTTGGCACCACCTGCTGTATATGCCGCTGAACCGTGAGTAGCAGGTTTTTTGTTTTGGGGGTTTATTTTGGTGCATGCAGCCACCATTCCAGACCTCTCGAGTTCAGGAGTCCCCGGCAATTCGCCGCATTGCAATGAAAACGTTTTGCATAGGATTCCTGTTGCAGCTAAGAGAGGCATTTTCTGTAACCTTGGTCCTTTGCAGTGTATATGCACAAGCACGCATGGCCTGTTGTTCACGCTTTCAGCATCAGGCGCGCTTTACGCCTATGGATTGAAAGAAAGCTGTAGATCCCTCGAACTGGAGTGTGGTGGGTAGAGGGGAGGTGCAGCTGGACCATAGACCCTAAACCCTAAGCTGCTATACGCGTCTTTGACGCACCTTGACGAGCACTAGAGTTCAGTTTTGAGTTTGACGCTGTAGACGCATTTAAACATCCCGAGGTCCAGGGATTCATTCCCATCTGTGGTAGTCACAAATGCAGACGAATAAATCTGAGGCACCTGACGGCAACTGCATTGCATATCCCCTCTATTCCTGATTAACAATCTTTATAAAATTGTCGGGCCAATTCGGGTGTGTGTATTCATATTTGTGGATGTGCATGTACACGTTTTGCATGCGTCAGCTCGTCCTGCTAATTGTTTCTCCTACTTCTGTTTCCTTATTCTCTTCAGACTCATCTTGTTTTTTTTCATTACTTGTTTCTTCTCTTGGGTGGTGTGTTCGTGGACTTTTTCAACTGCTCATTATCATGTGCCCTTCTTTTATCTGTTTTTCCTCTGTTACAGACTCCTGCGCATACTGGTATTCGCTGTTTGCACCTATTGCGAGGTGTCTCCTCTTCTCCAAATATCTGAGGGAAGATTCTGAACAAGACAATGAAGCAAAGCGCGACTTGGAGGAAATAAATACTTCTTGAGGTAATTGCGCCCCAAGAAACACAGAAGTACGTAAACTTGAAACAAGCACATTTTTTGTTCAGTCACTAGTTCACCATCAGCTTACTTGTTTCGACTTCGCACACTAAATGGATATAGGTACTTAAACAATTGGAAATTTTGTTACCAGTAGGAATTGCAATCATCATTTTGCAGCCTGGCTACTGTGTAACAGCTGGCTTTACGTTGACTATCTGGAGGAGTGAAGAGTAGGTAACCTGCTTTTGACTGCCGCTTACGTGGCTGCGGCTTCACCCTCGCTCTCCCCTCTCCGCTAGGTTAAATGGCGACGCCACAGTTATTTACGTGCACGCGTACGTGGGCTCTCCATATGACTTCGCTGTTGCGTAAGAAGAAACTGTCGGTTCCTGAAGCATTGCAACGTTTGAAAATACCCTACGAAATTCATTTGTCGAAAAAGGGAATTAAATGAGCCCATATTAACGCCCGAAGTTTTTCGTAGCCCACGATCTTACTCTGGTTTCTAACAATGCCAATATTGCCGGGGACATCATCAACTTTCCAACGAACCTGAGGAAGAAAAGAGTATACACGCCGCAAGTCGTTAGTTTAGTTGCATAGAGTTTTAACAAGAAAATGAACTTAATTTTGATGCGATGCAGCTATTTGGACTGTCTTTGCTTGTACGTTCCTTAAGGCATGAGCTGACACACACCATCATGCCCGCTCGCTCGCTCCGGGCACATACCTTAACGGCCAAGTTATGGGAGTTCAGCTGCTGCTGCTCAAACGCATACCATATAAATTTGTTAAACTGTAATCCAACGAAAGGAAAGAAATTTGGCTCTTTATATAATTATGTGTAGCTTGCCACTCTCGGAAAGTGGGGCTGTTGGTGCTGCCGACTCTACGTCTCTCGCGTTGCGGAAGGGCGCCACCGCTGTAAGCTCTTAATGACGACTTTCAGGCTTCTTTTGAGTTAATACCTTGAAATCACATTTAAAAAGGCTCCAGTGCCGATGTGGGGGTGTTCATGCATATGAGAAGAGAGATACCATTCCCAAGTGGTTTTGTCGGCAGACGCCCCTGTGGGAGGGCGGCGAAGCTGTCTGTGTGTCGTGGCCTTTGCGGTTTGAAGTCCCCCATGAAGACGAAGAGATCACTAGGAATAAAACCTCGAAACTCAAATTAAAAAGAAGCACGGAAAGAAACTCAATATGAGAAGGGCACAGACGCAACAAATACGACAGAGTGTTTCGCCAGCGCGACAGCGTTCCGTGAACAGAGTGTATCGGCTACTCCCGGTAGACCTGCAGTAGAACCAGTACAAACTTAAAGTGTCTATGCATCTCTCCGTGGCAGTCCTTCTTCTTCTCATGTATTTTCACCTGCATGCAACTGTGCCAACAGTATATACCGCCGACGTCCCCTTGGACGTCAAGAACCCGTTCGTTCCCTTGGCCTCAGCGATGGTTCAATAGCTGCCTTACTCCCATTCTTCCACCGCTTCTTTTTGTTGTTGGCACAGCTGCATCAGTTTCACCCATTGCTGCTGCGCGATTGGCTACCCGCTGCCGGCCTCTTTTCTCACTGCCATGTGGGGGGGGCATGGGGCAACACACGAGATGCCCTCTGAGTGTTTAACTGGCGGTGGTCATCGTAATGTGCTTTCGCTGCACACTGCCGTGTCTGGAAGCAGCGGCGGCAGCAGCACCAGCAGCCCCAGTCCACAACGGCACCAGGTCGCCTCCAATGCTGCTGGTTCCTCTTCCCGCATGGCGACGGCATACCGCTCATTCAAACAGTGGGTAGAGGCACTGCTCGTTACGGAGCTTAACCCCACAGTTAAACACATCTCCGCCTCAGGAGCGGTTCCAGCGACGGCAACAGCAGTAGCGGGGGCAGCAGCAGCTTCTGCAACAGGTAGCCCAACATCATCCACTAAAAATAAACGGGAAGGTAATAACCCCATATGCTCGGATTTTAGCCGCTCATGCTGCTCTTCTGCCACGCCCTTCAGCCGAGATGTTTCGCCTGACGTTTGGGGGCCCCTGAGGCGCCCTCAAGTGAGCTCTTCGTCGGGGGGCCCACCAGAAAGGGCCCTTCTTCCCGCTCTGGGCTCGCTGTCTGAGAACATCTTTTCGCACCGACCTGCACAGAGCCAGACGGGTCTCGCCTACCTGCCATCTCGATTGCCAGCTTCGGGTGTTCGTACACATGAAGAGAGGCCTTCTCAAGCGTTTAGTGGTTTGTGCGGGAAACACTTCGCCTCCAAAGATTCTTGTAAAGAACAAGAATTGCTTGGCGTGGACATCCACCCCGGGGTCTGCCCTCGTTCTTCTGTATGTACACCCAGCGATCAGGCTCTGCCTGACGCATCTCATTTTACACTTGGCGTAGACGCTTCAGCAGCACCCAACTCGCAGCCAACAGAGGGACGCCACCTGTCCCGGAGGGCTTCCCTCCGAGGCCCCTGCCTATGGGGTCCCCAGCCAGCCAGTGCAGGAGGCAGAAGGACCCCTCTCCGCAAGTCCACATTTATCCCTTTTGGTTCTTCTCGAGTTCGGTGGGAGGACGTGGAGGCAGAGAGTTCTTCCGGATGTCCTTTGGGGGCCCGCTGCGAGGGGCCTCCGGTGCCGGATGAAGCTGGAGTTGATGGTGCCGAGAGCTGCTGGAGAACAAAAGGCGGCCGCTGGCCCCAGCAGGGGCAGGTAGCGGATGCAGGGGGGACTTTGGGAACCATTGCGTGCATGCGGGTAGCAGCTGGAGGGGACGGTGCTGGTGCTGCTGCGTGCAAAGCTGCTTCTGTAGACGTGCCTTGCAGCTCGACGCGAAGTCCGCGGGGGCTGCCATCTGTTGAACGGCTTCTTTGGCGAATGAAAGGGACCTTCTCGTCGACCCTTCGGTGAACCTGCACGTTTATTCCGTTTCTGTTACTCTTGATTTTATGGTTTTCACCTCAATGCCGGTGCCGGTCGGCTTCTCAATGGAATCCAGGCTGCAATCAGCTGTTGGTCTGGTTTGTTGAGCCTGTTCTTCTTTCTATTGCCCCCCTGGCTGCTGAATACTTGTTTTTCCTCTCTCGTAACTCCCTCTTCTAAGTTGTTCTGCTTTGCAGCTCACTTCTTCCCTTGTCCCGCAGCTTGTTGCGTGCTCCACTATCGCGCTTTTGAGCATCCTTCGTAGTTGGCGTCGTTCATACGTTGTTGTCGTTGTTTGCTGTTATCGATGGAGACTTACTGTGGATGTTTCTCTTCGCCACATTTTCAGTCGCGACCACCTTTATTTTTCTACACCCTTTTATCACTCAGGGGACTTTTAATTGTTTTTAAGGTTCCCCTGTTCACACCATATGCTTACACAGTTTTCAGTCGCCCTGTTGTGCGAGTTCGCTCCCACATTAGCAGTTGTAACAGCGGCTGTGGTACTGCGAGTTTGTGCGGATGCTGCAAACTGTTACAATATATGAGAATTATACTGTAGCTGCTGCTCATATGACTGAATTTGCACAAGCTGAGCAACAGTTGCAGTAACATGGTAGGGTATTCATTGCTTGTCCAACAGCTGAAAAATCGCATTCATGTAATCACTTCAGCAGCAATTCGTGACTTTCTGTATGGACTGCATCTCCAAGAAGTTCAATACAGGAGCACAGATGATAGCGAAGCTGACATGAAATGATTACACAGAGGCTGGCAGTTCTTTGTTATTCAGTTTGTCTCATCATCTCTTAGCACTTAGTTTAGTTGATTACTGCTTATGGGTATGCGGAAGTCATGTATTCGTTTCTGGTGTTCGTAGCAGTGAATTTTTCCTTCAAAGGTGCTGCTATTTTTCTCGCCGCAACCTTCTTTGTTGCTGTTCTGAAAAAAATGTCTTGTTACTCGCACTGTCTTTGCTTCAGTTGCATATGATGACTCTTTTCTATGCTTTGCAGGAGACCAACAATGCAGGTTGTGCCCATCGTGTTGCATTCATTTTTTGTTAATGCTTCTGCTATTCAATTTCGTGAGCCTCATGTGCTGTTTAGAACTGCGGTTTTCAAGTGCAGCGTCGGACCTTAGTGGCATCCATTTCACTTTGTTTTGTCTTTTTTTCAGCAGCCGCACCAGCGGGGCTGACAGCCGCCTGCACTCCACTAACGCACATCGTACCAACTCTGCGGCGGTTTCCGGGGTGCCGCGCAGTGGTATTTGCAAAGAAGAAGGGTTTGTGCACGGTCTGAACAGCGTCATGAGTGTTCGCTTCAGCAACGCCAACAGCCGAAGTAGCACCAACGCCCACCCTCACGCCGACATCTACACCAACAGCACCAACAACAGCAACAGCAACAGCAACAGCAGCCACGTCACGAACACGCCGCACCATCACTTCTCGCTCATCTTTAGGGACGCCGAAGTGGAGACAGCCTATGGCGAGTTCTTGCGAAAGGCGCGGGCGAAACGCCTGGTGGTGGTGGGCATCCTGACAATTGTTTTGAATACCCTTTACGACTTACCCGAGTGGACTGCCATGTTCACCTCTCCGCTCATGGAGCAAAGCCCCTCTGGTACCCCGGAACCCATCACGGACGCTTCCAGCCTGCCAGCACCAACAGGTGCACCTGCAGCAGCAGCAGCATCTCCGCAGCATCAGTACCCGGGCAGCCTCTCCACGGGATTTTTGTTGGCTTTGGATGTCATTGAGGTCCTGCTGCAGGTTGTGCTGGCTTCTGCTGGCTACCTACCGCTGCTCAAGAGGCATACAGAACGTGCTGCTGTTTCTCTTATGTTATCTGCCTTCTTTCTCAGCTCCATTCGCCCCGCTACTCTTCTCCTCAAGACTAACCAAACAATTTCCCTGGCCCTCACTCCATACAAGGAGGTAACACATATATTTCCATTTACCCGCTAGAAACCTATGTCATACGTCTGTTATCATTTTGTATATACGTGCCTCATCCCCAATTGTATAATTGCACGGGATAAATGTACATATTGCGTGTAAGTGGATGAATTCGGACAGCTGTATATTGTCCATATCTGTGCAGATGCAGGTGTCATGTGTGCTCTTCGAAAGACGCTTATGTATTGCCACAAGGCAACCTCTGCCGTGTTGCCACAACAAATACCCATATTGATTTATGTAATATGCACATTACATGTATGTGCCCTTTGGTGGAACATACATGGTGATGTTGACCGGATTATGCACGGGTTCATACTGACGGTGCTGCAAGCCCTCTAATATTACAACAAGCTTGCCCAGCCTGTGTATCAGCCGTCGAAACTTTAGAGGCGTAGGGAGGCTGTTCGCCTGCGCAGTTTGGTGCCTTGTTTCGTTCTTTGCTGCTGTTGTATGCTCGGCGCATGCATACACGGCTACATGCAAACAGGCAGTTGGAAATTTTCGGTGCTCTGCTTACTTCTGATTCGCTCAGCATGGAAGACACAGCATTTTGGGGGCAATGCATGTGCCGCTTAGTGTGTTCTGTGTTTTTCGTGAGTGCATACATGCATGCAAGCACGAGATTTCGGGCCTTTGTATTTGCCGGTGTTGGTCTTCTAATGAGGGTATGGTTTGCATGAAAAGGAAACTGAACTGTTGGCAGCCGGCGCGAGGGTTTGGGGCTTTGGGCACCTGCGGATACTGCGGCGTGTGCAGGCGCTGTTGCTGTCTATTCAAGCCATCATGACATCAACATTTCTGCGGAGCATCGTGGGTAGCGTGTTGATAGACGCGGTGTGTCTGGTGCGGAGGCGCAAGCTGATGCACTACCACAAGTTGACGCTGCTGCTGCTGCTGCTGCTGCTGACAGCATGCACCGTAGGGGGCGTTCAGATGGGCTTTCCCTTCTCCTTCCTCGTGTTCCCCTGGACCGTGGGGCTGGCGAGTGGCATCGTCATTGGTGCCTCTTACGCGGGAGCGTACATGGCGGAGTTGATGCACCGGCGTGCGTTCCTGAGCGTTGCGGCGGTGTCTGCTAAACTACAGATCCTGCAGGAGGAGAGCACCAGCCAAAAGGCAACGGGGAAGAACATGCTGGAACAGCTTGTGGGGCTGGTAAAGCAAATGGGAGTCTCCCTCAGTGCCGTGGACCCCACGCCTCTCGACAAGACCGCCAAAGAAACCTTCCTGTACGCCTGCGCTGTACAGGCAAAATGCCTAGACGTCCTCACCAGCGGAAGAAACATGTATGCAGTAAACTGGCTAGCTCCCGAAGTACCGCCCGACGTTCAGCAGCTATATAGACAGTTCATTGAACCGTACATCAGGCAGGACTCCACAGCCATCCACACCCTCGACAACCAGCCAGTCCTATCCGCACCAACAACGCCCCACAATATTTCCTCTCAAATCAAACCTCTAACGCACGCCGCGTCGACTTGGACACCCCCTGCTGCTGCCTCCATAACGGCAACAGCAACAGCAATAGCAGCACCAACAGTACCTCAAACTACTGCAACACCCAGCCGGCCCTCAACGCAGGCTTCTCAGGCGAAATCTCAACCTCCAGGGTGCCCAGCATCTGCTTCCCCTTCACCGGCACCATCAGCAGCAGCAGTAGCACCGGCGGCGGAACCCTCTGGTGTTCCTGTGGCAGTGGCAGCCACAGCGTTTCGGCCGCTCTCTGTGCCTCTGCGCGAAGGGATCTGCTTGCCAGAAGTAGACCCTGAAGTCATCACCCCTCCCATACATTTGCGCGAAACAAACACGAACTCGTCTCTCAAAGCGCCTGCCGGTGAAACAACGGCCCCGCTCGCCCCAGAACGAGGAGTTCAAGCATCACAAATGGCGGTGCCTGCTCTTGTTGCTTGCGCAGTAGGAGGTGAAGCTGCAGCTGACACCTCAGCAAACGGAGACAGCCCGGACAAACAAAACAACCCCGAACTAATTCGTGACGTGGGAGGCTCTTCCCCTCAGTTGGAACGTGCTGCACCACACTTTGCCGCAACAGGAAAAGCAACAGCAGCAGCAGAAGCAAAAGCAGCGACAGATGCAAGGGCGCAGGTGCCTCCTCGCCCTCCGGGAGAGGGTGTACCTTGGGAATGGGCTTTTGCAGGTTCAGACTGGGTCGTAGACATGGCTTTGCAGCATCCGATGCTCGGCGGAGCTGCCGTTGCCATCGGCTCCGAGTGGACCGTCGATATGTTTGCCATAGACCAGGCAACTAACGGAAACGTAAGGCACCAAATATATATATATATATAT